TTTACCTTTCATTTCAACAATACATAATCCAAAACTCTTTATTACGTTCTTAAGTGCGCATCCCATAGCATTTGCTTTACAATACCTTTTAACAGATTGCTTTCCAATACGAACAATTCTTGCTTAAATAGTTTTATAAGTTCTTCACAGTACTTTCACAGTTGTTTATAAGTGAATAAGTTCTTAATTTCAAATACATTTATAAATAATTTAATGAATATTTATGTATTTTGTCAAAGGCAGATACGGTTTTAATATGCAACAATATACGGATGTGAAAAAAATTTGTTTTATTTAAAACTTTGGTTTGGAAAATGTAGCGAAACCTCTCAAGGGTATCGAAGAGTACAACAATTTTACTGACCGTAAGGTATTTTTTTCTTTAAGCATACATTTTTCTAAATCTATATTTTGCAGTCAAGCTTAGATTTTCTAAAACAAATTCATAATCAAAACGCTATTGTTATTATCGACAATAACCAAGATGTATTTTGCGTAAATGTTACTAACTATACAAACTGCTATATCCACACACGATGAATTTCGTTCATGGAAATGTCCCTTTTTCGATTTCATGGAATGCGTTATCGATACTATCAAATCCGCAACGAGCTTATGATGTAAAGAAAAACACCCATATGGTAACCAGCTTCAAGCATGATTCACGTCTAGCGATTTGGCCCCTCTTCCTTTCCTCCTCCAGGCGAACGATAGGGATGAGTTTTGGAAACAAAATGAAGGGAATCTTGGGAGAGAGAACGTTCTCTTTGACCGTGGCTTTCTGTTATATAATTTAGCATCAAGCAGATGAGTGTCAGGGGTAAATGAGTCCTGAATCGACTCCTAAGTAAAGTTGCGGTTCCGCTTCCCCCCCCATATGGAGACTGTGGGAAGGCGTCTTAGAACCTGATGAGCATTTATCTCAGTAGTTTTACGCTTATTGTCTCGCTGTCACTTAATCACATTTAGAACAAAATCTTTGCTTCCTGCGAGATAACTACTGTAAGCAGCGATAACATACTCTAGCTAACTCGGCATGCGAGAATTAGGCGTTCCTAAAAACTTCCCCAAAATATTGTGTTCGACGGGAAGGTTTAGCATGTGAGTGAGGGGACTTTACTTGAACGTCTCATGTTCTCATTGCAAGGTCTCCTTATTGTTAAACTAAAACGTTAGGAATTCTAATTTTTTTTTCCCTTTAAATTGTAATTCAGTTTTATAAAAAGAAGTACCAGAGCTCATATTATTTAGGGCTCCGTTGAAGAAGCACTTGAGAAGCACCGGAGCCGGGGTCCTGTGGGCTCCGGCGCAATTTAAGCACTGGTCGTGGGAAAATTTGACGCATCGCAATGAGAAGTTTAGTCCACGTTTAGCCGGGTAAGCAGATGGTAAAGAAAACCGGCAGCGCCCTTTGCGTACCCCCTGCAAAGTATTTCTTCCGGGGTCGAGAAGTCAAGGTCGTGTCGGGGGGCGGTGAAAGAAATTCCGAACTGTCTAAAAGAAAGCGAATATATTTTGATCACGCTTCCAGTCACGTTTTGATGATTCCTCAGCCTTCGGGCGTTTGATCTTTTCATATTTGTCCCTCAGGCAAACGCTTAAAAAATTTAATTTAATGTAAAGCGGGGGGAATAATTTTTTTTTTCCGCGTGCAGGCACTAGCCGTTGTAAGCGTTGGCCAATACTACGGCCGGAAGCAGTGGTTACTTTATTATGGAGGCACCTAATAGGTCGGACACCGTTGCCTCCTATGAAGGGACAGACAATTTTTACATCCATGCCTTCGCCGGGATTCGAACCCAACCCTCCCGTACGGAAGTCAGACTTACTGACCACTTTCTCCATTGGAAGGCATGGAAATAAAAATAATATAGATTAATAGATATAAACGTAACAGATGCAGATTTAATGCAATGCTTGAATCCAAACGATTTTTGTTACTGTCGCAAAAAGGCCCTTAAGGGCTCACGTACACTTCATAACCCCAACCGCTTCAGGAAAATAAAGTAAATAAAAATTGATGAAATTGAAAAACTGAGGAAACAAATAGCAGAATCAAAATAAAGAAAACTAGAATTTATAAATTTGGTCATTATGTGAGTCGAATAGAACGAACCAAACTAATAATCTATAGATCTGCCATTTCTGATGTGATATAGTCAACTTCCGATTAACTAAGCTAATAGCGGGGCGACATAGATAATTAAAACAGGCACAAGAAAGAAAAGTAACTCACGTGATAGGTAAAAGAAAGTATAATTAGTAACTTACCTCTATTTTAAGTAGATTAGTTTGGAGAATCAATTCATTCGATTACGTGAACTAAATTAGTATTCAAAACAAGAAGATGACACTGCAAGTAAGAAAGAATAAACATCACTAAAATGAAGAAAAAGTACTAAATGGCATTGAAAGCGCTATTAACCAAAGAACTTGAACAATGCCATCGAGTTCAAACTCACGTCAAAATTGTGCGTTAATTTTTTTTTTTTTTTTTTTTTTTTTTTTTTTTACTACACCTTGTTTAATTATCCTAATTGCGTGCTGTTGTAGATAAAAGCGAAGTGCAGATATTAAGACATTATCCTATTAACACTTTCTTTTATTTTCAGAATACAGTTTTGTTCTACGCTGATAATTATATAAACGAAACGATAGTAAAAATACCTATTAATTTTAATCATACTTCTTTTTAAAGTTTCTGTTTCTGTCATACGAATAATTACCATATAGATTATTAAACACATTTTAACTGAAATTTATATTTACAAATCAATAAGGTTCTGTAAAGGTATTCAGCACCGTTATTTTAGATTGAGATCGCAATTTGATTGGAAAGTGCTTTTTATAGATCTCATTATGTATAAATTAACTTAAGTAGCTCGTTTAAAAAAAAAAATCTGATGTGTACACTACATGACTTCCTTGTACGGAATATTAAATTATACGCATTTTTTCTTGCATTTCATTTAAACGAATTGGATTGAATTAAATATACTTCGCCGACAGCGCATAAACCACAATAGAATAAATGCATTCTTTAAAATCACACTAGTATTTGTTTACCATAGCGACACTCTGGCGCTAGATTCACTAACAGTATTATATTTCGTTCATATATAACTCATAATGCTCAAAAAATTTATATCAATTAAAGATAGAATTATCTAATCGTTTCCACATGTTCTATTCAAATACTATATAAAGCTAGAATGATGTATAAAGAAATTAAGCAAACAAAACAAAAAAGAAACAATTTTTCACAGACAATTTTATTTCTCATTCATTAATTCAGTTCTCACTTCGCGAGAAGGCAAATATAAAACTCAAAAATCTATATTAAAAATTAGAAGTAAACTTAAACACTTATTTTCTCGAAAAATTCAGAAAGGATAAATAATGAAGGTTATCTTTGTTGTTGCGAAGCTAAGTTTCTCTAGATTGGCAACAATCCACTATTCTGCTGTTTCAAATGTGAACATCAATGGCCGCCATTAAAAAGGGCTTAGCGGCACTTAAACAACTTTAAAATTGCTGATAATTCTAAAATATTGCAAAGATATACAAAGGCATAAAACCCAACGGAAGATAAAACAAAACTTCATCATTTTTAAGCAAAAATACAATGTACAAACATCTAAAGGTAAGAAACTGAATACTGGCGGGTAACAGAGTGGAGATATATAATTATTTTATAACTTTTGGTGCGGCCGATGCAACAAAAATATGAGGTGACATCATGTATAGTATCTGTATAACAAATTTCAAACGTTCTGGCTACTCGTTTGAGATGCGAGATACGTACGTACGTACGAACGTAACGTACGACGCCACGAAAAATTCTCTTCAGAATTCATTTTAAAGCAGTTTTATAATTTTTTTGGAGGAAAGAGAGTTTTATTCTGTTTTAGTACATATATTCGGAAAACATCGTTAAATGCATTTGAAAGAGGTCAAAGGGATATTTTCGTTGAAATATGCTGCCTGAAACTTTTCGCGATTACAATACTTCCTTTTTACAGCGTACAAGGAAGTAAAAAGAATCGTTCGACATTGAACTTTTTTATATTCACTGACAGGCAATGGAGAGTTACTTTATATAATTCTAGGGAATATCTTTTTCTCGTTTTCTAAGAGTCCATCAAAGTTTAAGGTAATTCAAAGATCTGATATGGATTTTGGAATCGCTTACGTATTTCTGTGGAAAATCTATTGAATTTGGTACAGAAAAATAGCACAAAAATTATTTAAACATAAAACAATCTACGAGTTATAAAATAAATTAAAAAATAGCTGGAAGGAAATTCGAAATTTGATTCGGCTTTCGAGGGAAACACTAATATTCGTGAAATCTTAAAAACTCCCCTTAAAGTTCGCGAAAATAATCCCGGAGGTTCGGCAGCTACTAAAGTTACTGTCCTTCTCATGGTTAATCTTGAATATGACAGTAATTATGAACAGGTTTTATAGATAATAACGATGAGTAAGACACTAACTATGAGCAGATTTGTGAATCATAACCATGAGTAAGACAATAACTACGAGTAGACTCATGAACCTTATTCATGATTAAGACAGAAACTATGAGCAGGATTCGTGGACAATAATAGTGATTAAGACAGTAATTATAAGCTACGGACAAAAACCATGAATATGACAGTAACCGTAAGTTAGATTCGTGGGTAAGAAACATGAGTAAGGCAGTATCTATATTTAGGATTCATGAACATTAATAATTAGTAAGACAATAACTATGAGTAGAATCATGGACAGTAACCATGAACAATAACCTTCAGTAAACTCATAGACAATAATCGTGAATAAGACAGTAACTATGAGTAGACTTATGGATAGCAAGCATGAAAATGACGGTAATTATGAATAGGGCTCATGGGCAATTATCACGATTAGGAGAGTAACCAACTCATGATTAACAACGAGCGGCTGCATTGAAACAGCAATCCACTCTGACGTTTCATCTGAATTTCTTTCTGTTTCAGGTGTACATCTTCGTGTGTCTCGTATCACTGGCCATATGCATCAGAGAAACGACGAGCGACGCCCTACGCGGCGAAAAAGAGGGCTACTACGCTTTTGAGGAGGCGCCTTCGCGGTTCATGAGGCCGCCCCAAGTGCGGAAGCCCCCCTACATGATGTCCAACGTTCCGTGCCCATCCGGGGAAGGGCCCTACAGCAAGAGGCCTTCGCCAAAGTCCACGTTATGCGGTGATCTCAACAAGGGTTTTATCCCCTTGAATCCACTGGGACAAGACTTCGATGGACAGCCCTATCCTTTGTAAGAAGTTTTATTACAGTTTTTAAATATAAATGTATGGTGCTGCAAATGTCTAAAATATAAATACCATATTTATTCGGTAATCAAATATCGTTTTTATTCATTTGGCGACATCTTGTGGCGACTGATGTTTCGTTACATACTAAAGACCAGAGGTTCCCAAAGTGATAGATATGGCTCTCGTGAAATTTTTTTTTTTTTAAAGGAAATGTGTATATACTTGAAGCTCTCTCTCCTTACATACAGTCCTGCTGTTTACAGATTAAAACTCTTTCTCAGTATGCTGTTTATATATGCAAGTTACATACGCTTTTTTTTATGAAACTTGAACTGTTTCATTCCTTGGATGACAAAAGCCGTCTTAATTCAGAAAAATTGTAATTATTTCAATATGTTACGCAGGTGAATACAATTTGTAAGCATATCAAACATTATTTAAAAATTTATCCATTCGATTTTGCTGCATATATCTTATTAATAGCTTGAACTGTGGTCTCCAAGGCACGGCATTACTTCTGCTTGTAACTTTCTGTGTCTCCAACTTTAAGTTCGAGTGTTATCAAAATTTTTAATGATTGTCGATATTCTGCTGCTATTGGTACAGGATCGGGATTTTCATTTTCGGACACTTTCATTTTGATTAAATTCTTTGTTTTCCTCGATAACTTCAATGATCTCTTCATCACTCTTTTCAAGTCTGGATATTTTCATCGATTACCAAATATTCGAGGAAGGTCTCATCATGCATTTTTTTCATCGTCATCCTTGTCTTCTGGCCTATCTGGAGAGTTTACAGAAATTTGCTTTGACTGGGAGCCGGCTTTTTTTTAAAACGATTAGAAATCATTTGCGAAGTTACTTCATCCTACGCATTCAAAATAACATGCATGGCATCTAAGTGTCGATCGAAATCGATTTAACTATTTCCTTAGAAGAACGAACTGCATCAGTCGCATCAGTTTCATTAATAACATTATGAAAAACTTCCTTACTGTAATTCTTCTTGAATGCTTTTATCAGTGTTTTTCAACTGGATTTACTCTAAGGACCGGTAAAATATTTTGGTACGTTCTCGCGGACCGGTAAGTTTAATAATTCCACCCATTGGCACAATTTTTTCACAAAAATAAATCATGAAGACAAAAACAACCAGCAAATATTTCTTGAGGACCGGTGGTTGAGAAACACTGCATTTATAACACTCTTATCTTATGATTGAAGAATGGAAGTTGTATTAGGAGGCAGGAAAGCTAATTTCATGTTCTTCAACGAGAGATCAATTGGACGGGCCACGCACACGCAGTTATCTAACAGGAGCGCCACTTTTTTTTCCTGAAGTTCTTTATCCCACTTACAAGGAAATCACTAAAAATATAGCTTGCCATCCAAGCACTTTTAGTGACGTAAGAAGTCACAGAGAAATGTTTGACGCCCTTCAGACAACGAGGGGTTTTGCTTGACTTAATGACTACATAGGAAACCTTTTGCTTGACCTTTTTGACTGTTACGCCCATATTACACATTAACAACATAGTCATTTCGAAACAACTTCCCTAGGGCAATTTCTACATTGGTAAACTTACGTGAGACATTTGCACTTGCCATCCGTTCATCCGAAATTGCCTCCCTTCTTTTCAACAAGGTACATAATGCAGATTATGGAATTTCGAGTTGTACAGAAATTTCATGTTGGTTGCCATTTTGGTAAAGCTTCATACTCCTCCAACAATTCTGCTTTATCTTTTAAGCTTAAGTCCTTGCGTTTGGACATTTTGAGGCACGACTGAACAACAAAAGTACGATGTGGATGCTTCAGTTGAACAAACTGTGTGAGCAAAAAAAAAAAAGAAAATTTTTCATGCAGATTCTCTTTAACGTCTTTTTATGTTTCCCCTTTTCCCACGAAGGGTCGTTAGATGTGATAACCCCATAAGGAACTTTAAATTCCACAAAAGAATCTGGGGATTATCGTGAAGTCAGCAGACCATAACGTGGCTCTGGTGGATTGGCCAAAAAGAATTCCCGATTTAACACCTTGTGACTACTTCTTATGAGAATGCATCAACCAACAATGCTTATCACTCTCTTCAACAACTACAGCTGCAGTAACTGTTGGAAAGAATTTTACTATTGCACTAATACATGTCTTATTATAAAGAGGAAGACAATCTTCCTCTTTATAATCTTACTAGAAAGACTATAAAGAGGAATGTGTATGGTTAAGTTACATATAGAAAATATGTAACTTAACCATACACATTTCGAGATTACTGGTTCGTAAGAAACGTGTATGATATATTCAATATATTATTAGTACAAACGATATATATTTACTATATTATTAGTATAAAGCAGTAGTAGGGGTAGATATATTATTATAGTATATATTAAAATAATTATTAGCACTTATTAGTATTAATATATTAGATATGATATCTTATAGATATATTATATTAAAGTAATATTAGTATCAGTGTTAGAGATTATATATAGTCTATATAGTATATATGATATATGATAGTATATGATATTTTACTAATAATATGATCTATTATTATTAAAAATTATTAGTATTATTAGTATTAGTATTATAGTATTAGTGTGTAAGGTGACCAATATTTTTACAATGAAAAGGGGACCCAAATTGTCTAAGAAAAAAGATCACAAATAATGAAACAATAATACTAATAATTAATAATTATTAGTATTATAGTATAGTATTTATAATTAGTGTTGTAAGGTGACCAATATTTTTACAATGAAAAGGAGGACAAATGTCTAAGAAAAAAAGTAATCACAAATAAATGAAACATTTATAATTTGAAACAAAAATAACAATATGTTTACATCCCTTTTAATTATTTAATTAAAGGAATATTTTTCTATTCAATGAATATTTTTTGTCAATACATCAATTTCTAACAAAATACTGGAAATATCGGAGGAAGAAATATTCTTCATATTGAGTTTTACGGTAAGTGTAGCTAAAACGCATCCTTTAAATAAAATATGGAGCTACACGAACAATGTAAGCGCATTATAAATAAATAAAACTAAATCTTTAATAACAAAAACTATAAAACTTTACTAAATCTATATGTAAATTTTACATTATTTTATACTTGTGTTGAAAACAGAGTTATATAATAAAATTATATTAATGAAGAAATAAAACGCGAATTCTGCTTAGTAAGGCACGTACCTGAGTATAATAATTATGCAGTGAAAGAAAGAAATTCGTATTTGCGTCAGATGTATACGCGAACTGTAATATTAAACAAAGTAAAATGCGCAAAAGTGTGAAGGTGCGAGACAAGTGTCGCTGCCTGAAGTTTTGATATGCCCAGAATGTGCTGTGTATGCGTTTTATAATCATGTTTTCCCGAACTGCACCATCACATCACAATTGACGTATAACATTTCGACGCAGCATCTTTAAATAATACAGAGAATATACATAATAATACAGAGATAAACAGATTAGTTGTAAAATATTGAAAAGGAGGACAGTTGAGAGGACACTCCTTGAGGAAGGGCAGAGCCTACCAAAGGAAGACTGTCCTCCCTAAAGGAGGACGATTGGTCATCTTAGTGTATGATATGTTATATAGTAGTATACTATTAGTGTAGTATTATAGGAAACCAAATGATTTTGCATCAAAATTATTCAACTTTTACTTTTATCCCCAGCGAACTGATCAAGAATAAGACGCTGATTTTCCTTTCAAAGGCCTTGCCTTACCTGAAAGAGGATCCCAAAATTCCCAAGGTTGCCAAGATCGGACAGAAGCGCCCTCTGGTTCAGCAGAACGGTCACGAGTATCGCAGACATGGCTACCACAGAGCGAAGCGAGACGCAGCTCCGAGAAACGAAAGCCAGACGTCGACTTCGGAGTACTTAAATGACATCTCGGACAATCATACCACCGCGAGACAGAATTGCGACCAAGGAGGAGCTGCTGGATTGTAAGAAAATATCCGAGTTTCCTTATTTTTAATAATGTTGTGGTGTTTTTATATGGTTGTCTCATTATTAGGGTGCCTGCACATTTATGCTGACCAGCCAATGCTCGTCCCAAAAATGGTGCGTAAACTAGCTTTGCGTAAGAGTTGCGGTATTTTTGAATATTTTGGCGAAAGTATCCTTCAGAGTTCACGAAGACCATCTTCCGGTACCTTCATGCAGTTACAGCTTTCATTTGCTTTATTAGTGAAAATAGCAAATCCCTATTTTTATTAGTATGCCCCGGCTTAGGCATGCCGGCACAATTCTGAAAGATGCTTCTTTCAGATAGGAAGTTATCTTGGCTAATCTTTGGAATATGGTAACAGGTAGTTTGGCGACATTTTGGTAAGGCGATAAAGGTTACTAGCTAGGACTTTAGCAGTGTACATGGATAAAGTCAAGAGTGTGCACAGTGCCATTTTTGTGCAATTCTGTGATGTTTTTTTAAGTGAAAATAGGTCGACGTGTTCATGGATACCGTGTATGTGGAATTCTTAAAAACGCGGCAAGCAGTTTGCGGTTCTGCACTTTCTCCCGATTTCGAACCTAATCTTCGTCATGATTAAGCACTTTTGTTCCATAAAAGTTCTAGCATAAGCATAATTCGGCTAGTAGATTGTTAGAAAAAAATGTTGAGTTAAAAAAAAAAAAAAAAAAAAAAAAAAAAAAAAAAAAAAAAAAAAAACATGCCTTTACTTCGTGAAAACAAAATGGCGTCCAAACAAAAATTAGCATTTTGCTGTAGCAGGGTTAGTCGCCAAATTTTCGCCAAGTTACTAAATTCAAAGATTAACCGTGAAAATTCAAAGATTACCATTAATTCAAATATTAACCGTGAAATTCTATCCGTCGAAGATGAAATCTTTGGTTAGACAATCCAGTTAACCATTGTGATATGAAATACTTGCTCGAATCTGTTAAGAACTTTACCAGTCCCGTTGCTTTTTATCAGTTTCGAATTTCTTAATTGGAATTTCAAACTTTCTGACTTTTTGGTTAATTTATGTAATTTTAATTATATTAAATAGTGTCTTTGAATTTAACGAACTTTTTATTTTCAGTTTATCAGATTCTTAATTTCTGACTGATTTGTGATTTGTTTGAAATTAATGAATAATAGCAAAGTTTTTATTTACTTAAAAAAAAAAAAAAAAAAAAAAAAAAAAAAAAAACATGCTTTTACTTTTTGAAAACAAAATGGCGTCCAAACAAAAACTAGCAGGTTGCTGTAGTAGGGTTGGTCGCCAAAGATTCGCCAAAAGATAGCCAAGTTACATTAACCGTTATCTTCATAAAGGTGCTACCACGTTTATGCAGCAGGAGTTTTAAAGGTTTTTGTGAGCACTGACCGACATACATTAGTTTGCTGGAATCTTTTTGACAAACCTTTATAAAACATACTATTACAAACTGATGTTTATAAATGTGCTGGCACTTTTGTTCAGAAGATTCCATGATTGCTGGCCGACGTGTATAAGAATGACGGAATCCTTATGTAACCATCTGATTTGTCAAGAGAGAAATCTTCACAAGGGTTGAACGCCGCATCTTCAAGAAAATTGGTTTTTTACTAAAGAAAAGTTTCAACCTTTTGTAAAATTTTGCTCCTTTACGGAAGTAGGTTTTTAATTTTATACTTTTATTAATAAGCAAAGAATTTCCTACTTGCGTAAGGATACCCGAATTTTAATGCATGGGCACCCACTCCTGTCTATGTGAACAACGTCTTTCCATTAGAAAGTCGACAACCATACGACGAAGAAAATGAGATATACAGTGACTCAATAACGAAGAAAATGAAATATACAGTGACTCAAAAACGAAGAAAATGAAATATACAGTGACTCAAAAACGAAGAAAATGAAATATACAGTGACTCAGAAACGAAGAAATGAAATATGCAGTGACTCAAAAACGAAGAAAATGAAATATACAGTGACTCAAAAACGTATTGATTCACAACCAGCTTTCAAATATTTATTGAAAAATTAATTAAATATTTATGAGCGAGATATTTTTCTAGCACATCATTTTTTAAGATCTTATAATTAATTTAAAATAATGTTAAATAAATACTAAATGATACGCTTTTCTTATGCAAATGTAGAGGTAATGATGAAACAAATACTAACGCACATGAGCCTCTTTTAAAAAAATTATAAAATGTATTTAAATAACGTGTTGGGCCTTATTTCCTTTTTGTGACATGAATGAGTCTCCTAGGCATTTGTTTCACAAGATTTTTGATAGAGATTTTCTTCTGCTTCCCCTATTGTACGATTAGTTTTCTGTAAGTACATTTTTTAGAAATTTTTAATTTATTAATTTTATCTTGCAGATGATTCTTGCTTAATTAAACTGCGTCCTAGGCTTTGCGCCGACAGCCATATGGACAGTTATATAAAATCCACAGTTTGTAAGTATAAATATTACGCTTGGTATCATTGTCCTCATAAGGTCTCTAATGCTCTTACACTTTCCCAGCTTGCAAATGCAGTGATGACCCTTGTTAGGCCATGTAATTTTCTATACATACAACAACAAATACAGAGGCTCGGACAAGCGGATGGGAGAATATCCCCGGAGGGCGCTTTTGGTCAGTGGGACCGTCCTCGGGATACACCGGGCGCTGGGTTTCGGCGCCCCGTGCGAGACCCTCGTGTGGCCCTCAAGTTCGACTATAGATACTGGTGGACGTGGCGCTACACCAATTAACCATATGGTAAAGGGGTGGTGCCCACGTCCTCCGTCGCATGTCGCAATGCAACAGTATTCTCTATTTTTTAGCATTCTGTTTTGAGATTTGCTTTAAATTTATTCATTTTGCCATCAACAAAATGAAATTCGTACTCATTAAATATGTTTACAGAATTATTACATGCATTTATTTCCTTCCTGAGTACATTCAATGAGGAGGAAAGTTTTGCCACGTTATGTATTATTAGTCCGATAATTTGGCATCAATGAAACGTGCTGAATTACTGGATTTTTGCTGTATTAGAAATTAAGCAACAAAACATCTAAAATCATTTCCCACCATTTTATATTTCTTCTTCGCCCGCAGGTTCTGCTCTTTGAGTTCTGCGATGTCGAACAACAAAATACCTCTGGCTCTCATGAGCGCGGTCGCGCAAGGACTGGCTGCCTCCATGAGCCCCACCACCTCCACCCCCCAAGAATCGACAACCGTACGTCCAGTCACCCATTATTCATCCGAGACTGGATCCGGAGGCGAGTCGTCGATGACGGAGGCTGTCATCGGCCTTCTGGGCACTCTGGCCAACATGGGATTGGGAAAGCCTGGTACTGGTTCTGTGAAAGATTCCACCAAGTAAGTTTTCCAATTCATGTTTTCCTGGATGGTGTGAAGGAGAGTTAAATATCTGCTTTAATCATCTCAATATTAAACATTTCAGTGTCATTCTTATAAGCAATAGTTACATAGGTGCACGGCGGATTTACACAACGGCTAACGGAGCATTTGCCCTGAGTCTACACTTTCACGAAACTGAATTGATTTAAGGGTGAGGCCCCGACTCACCTAGCTAAACCAAGTTTCGCCATAAAATCGTACTGAAGCCAGCCCGTGCAACGATAAAAGAAGGTTAGCCATACTTTTTATGTACATCACAGAAAGTCTGATGCTATCTGAACAATCCGAAATTTAATTATAATTTCAAAATCCACTTTTAAGGGTATCATAAATACCTTCTATACTTAAAATATATAAAATTGTTTTAGTTTTCCATGTCTTTCTTCAAAAACCACTTGCCAAACGGTGGCCTTGCATTTTCATAGACGATTGATACCTTTTAGTAAAGTATCTATTTGTAAAAATCGGTAATTTGTGCAACCATCTCTGCTATTATGTGTAGAGTTGGACGTTTCTCTCCGGAAATGATTCAAAGAACCAGTTCACTTTAGTGAGCGAATGAACACAGTGGCCCACAAAACGGAGTGGTCGCTTATTTACAGTTCACTTTATTGAGGGAATGAACAGAGTGGCCCACAAAACGGAGTGGTCGCTCATTTACAGTTCACTTTATTGAGCGAATGAACAGAGTGGCCCACGAAACGGAGTGGTCGCTCATTTACAGTTCACTTTCTTGAGCGAATGAACAGAGTGGCCCACAAAACGGAGTGGTCGCTCATTTACAGTTCACTTTATTGAGCGAATGAACAGAGTGGCCAATAAAATGGAGTGGTCGCTCATTTACAGTTCACGGAGAGCTTTTTTTGGTTTGGTAGAGGACTTTCTAAGGGAAATTGACTCGTATACATGTTACACATTGGAAAACCCCCGAAAACGCCCATGAAGCCAGCCCATTGGCCGAGATACTAACCCTGGACCGAACTACTAGTCCTCAGTGACCCTGGACCGAACTACTAGTGCTCAGTGACCCTGGACCGAACTACTAGTGCTCACCCGATCGGCCGCTGGTGGACTCGAGCTCTTATTGGAAGCGTGATAGGAAATTTCGATTCTTTCTATGTAAATACTGACATTCTTCCTTTATTATTTACTGTAATCATCTGTGGCGTGATGAAGTTGGGCTGTTTGGGTATTTGGCTATGAAACTGTAATTATCTCTGCGTGCATGTTAGCGTTTTTGTGTGTATGTATATGTATCAAAGATCAAGTGCAACCGGTGCTACCACACCAGGAGACAGAATTTAGAGGCGGCAAATTTTTTTTTAAATTATGGGAGATACTGGACGCCAGAGCTGTGTGCCGCAGAGGTTGCATTGGATGGCAAGAAGGAATAACACCGATCTCGATTTCATCTTTATATTTTTAGTTCGACAAATTATTTTTTTAGTTTGCATTGTATTTTTAGCTGTAAAGCACCAGGAATGGTTTAACAACTTTCATACTGGATTTTAACTTGTCCTGTGCTTTGTTCTAACAAGGTCATTAAGGGCTAATCCACCAATTGTTTTAAGGTAACTCTGTGTGTCAGTCATTGAGTGTTTATTTTAAGTTAATATCACACCACATCGTTACAACTGCATGCTATTAAAAATTAAAAAAAAAAAAAAATTCAAATATAAAAAAAATTGGCCAACTATTCCTTTTTTCACTTAAATTATACGCAATGAAACTTCTCTTAGATTATGACTCGCGGTTTCAGACTCTTTCGATCTTCTAAGTGAATTGTTTCGACTTCTCGGTTTCGATATGAGGTTAAAATTTTCTAACTCCTATTTTACGCTTTACACAGAGACCAAAAATGTCCCGCCTTTTACGTTTTTCTTCGTATAAATTTTAACTAGTTTCGAAGATATATAAAAGATTGAGATTTTATTGTGTTTGCATTTCATGATAATGTCATTATTTCAGAAGCTAATACGACTTTTTCCCCCCTCATGAAAACCCCAAGCGATGAGGAGCCGTCCACTTTGGCCCACGTCATGTCCGTTTTGACTGGAGCATCCCCAGGTAGCAGCAGTGCTCTCTCACTGGTTCTGAAGCTGATGGCCAGCGAGGCCTCTCCGCTGAAGGCTCTGGCTGGAGGATTCCCTTCTAGAAGAAGGCGGCCAGTCGGGGACGACCAGATAGCCGCTGAATCGAACGTTCGAAGGCCCCAAGAGAACGATTTTGACTTACCTCCAACACCATGCCCTTCCTCAGAAGAGTATGTCACTCCTACTTTTGCACGGAATTATCAAGGGGTGTGGAAATATGTAGTTCAGATACCACAAGAAGGTTACTTCACGCAGACAGTGCAGCAAACCAAATGCATGTGAGTATGTTGCTGTAAACTCTGTAAACTCTTCCTATATATATTATTATTTTATTATTTTATATGTTTAAAAAAGGACCAGTGTGTCCCTTTGACGCAGATAATCAAATTTCCAGTTGAGCACTATTAATCAACGTTTATGCCCTCAACGTTGTAGCTGCATATGCTGAGCGAATGGCTGATCAATTGTTTCGACATCATTTAAAATTGTCTTCCCTTAGAATTCTTCATTGAACAGGGCGGGAGTTGAGAATATCGATAGACAGATAGATCTTTGTAAAATTCTTTCTATATTGAGGGTGATTTGACATATGGTCTTTTCGTTCAGAAACAACAACTATATTCATTTAAAAGTTTTTTTTTTTTTTTTTTTTTTTTTTTGCCTACTTTTATAGCATTATTTATTTTTGCCTTTCTCAACATTAAATACAGTTTATGAAAATATACTTCAGTGTAGAGTTCCTCACTTTGGAATTCTAAGTTAATGTTGGAAGTGAAGAATCTAAGAACTGATAAGCGAATAATCGCTTGAGTTCGGTGACAAGAAACAACAAGATAGAAGGGTAACTAATCCTTTATTATTCCAATAAGATTTAACAAAACTCCGCCTGGGAGTGTACAAGCAAAGCCCGCACTTGGACTTGAACTTAAAAGACTAAGAATTAAACTAAAACTAAGATTAACTAAAGAAGTATAGCCGAAGCTATCAAGGTTCAAATCGAGCAGGCCCCTTAACTTATTTGACTACGAAGCTTAGAAAGGGCCTGAGTACGGCCGAGCGTAATAACAGCTTTGAGAAAGAGAGTGGCCAAAAAGGCAGACGCGCGTAAATCAGAAATTCTGATTCTCTCTGACTCAGTAAGTAACTTCGTGTTATAAATACCGCCCCTCATTAAATATTCAGCAAGATTCCAAAACTACGTTCTGGCCGGAAGTAGTTGAAGTTAAGAATTTGACAGGAAAGGAACTTTAACTTAAAATTTAACTGTTAATAAAATTAACATAATTCTTACATCAGTTACAATAAATATAGTTACAATAATAAATACAATTTATGGAAATTCCTTTTGCGATGTCGAATTTTCATGTCATATTCCTATAGACGCTATATCCATCTTACCACTCGATCCTTCGAGATTTTTAAAACTAAGCAGCTAACTTAATGACTGTTCAGTGCGCAACAGAAACTTCCTCCTGTAGGGATTAGCTGAAAATGTCCTACTGCCTTCACGAATAGTGACAGCTCTTTTCTAGTGGCACAGTAATTTCTTTCTGGCTCAGAGAGACTTTTACTAAAATAGACAATGACGTACTCCTGGCCATCAGTTTCTTGCGAAGGACAAGTTTCATTTATTTTACTGCTGGCGTCTGTATCGAGAATAAAGTTGTATTTCGGTTGGGCATAAGCCAACATAAGAGAGGAAGTCAAGGCATTATTCAGGGTTTAAAATGCTTCTTCACATTCATCATTCAACCAAAGGTTTTGCTTTGTTTCTGTTAGGCGATCCAAAAGCCCTGCGATTTTTGTACACGCAATAATTTTCGTGACTGGCGTCTCTTTCAAGACGTACAGCAGCTGAGAAGAGAAATCTTTGACAAAACTTCTGTAGTAAGTGCAGAGACCAAGGAAACTTCTCAGCTGCTGTACGTCTTGAAGGAGACGCCAGTCACGAAAATTATTGCGTGTACAAAAATATAGAACATGCAGAGTATGAAAGCAAATTATCGTCCACACAAGAACGCAGAATACGTAAATTATTAAAGCTAATTATCGCCTGCGCAAGAATATAGAACTCGCAAACTATTTAATTAAAAGTTTAGAAGAACCATAGTTTAAAATCTAAACACCTAACTTGTAGAGACATTAGATTTTTTTGGAAGCTGGAGAGATGAAAAATTAGCAATGCCTTCGCCGGGAATGGAACCAAGGACCTGTGGAATACCGGCCCAGCGTGCAGAACTACTACACCACGAAGGCACGCTAGGAAAGTAGGAGTATTCGAGTCAAACCATTTTTATAAATTTTATTAAATGTATGAATATGAATTGAGAGACCGATTGAAAACTTAGTAGTTTTTACAAAATTGAATTTTTAAGTTTAAAATTACCATAACATGAATATTTGTCTCATTTAAAGCATTTTTGTGAGAGTCCAATGGCTTCGAAAAAGTATACTTTTAAAAATTGTACTTAAATTTGTCTTTCATTAAATGTATTTTTCAAATTTTGTTTCACTAAAAATTTTCATATTTTTAAGTTAGTTTTTATTTTTCTTTCCTCTTAGAGAAATAGAGAACTTCATAGGAATTCGAATTCAAGAATATTTCGCCCCGCCTCTAACTATTTTATTACAAGTTTATACATAAACACAGTTAGTACACATCATTTTAGACATACGTTTTGATCTATTTGTCTTCAAACTCTAATGGTCGTCGGCACCACAGAAGTTTTAAATCAGTTCTAGTCGAATCGCTTGTGGTACTGCTTACAGGGCTTAATTTCTAAGATTAGAAGTACCGAAGTCCTATGGAAGACCATCAGCAAAGGGGAACAAGAGTAAATAAATAAATAAAGTGACTATTAAATATAATTAATAATTTTAAAATTAAATAGTTAATTATCAAATTAGTTAATAGCTATTTAATTAATGTTTATAAATTGTTATTTAATCAAAAATTACTATATAATTAATTAATTATAATTTAATTGATAATTATTTATACAATTAATTATTATTTATTGAAATAATTAAAAGATTGAAGTAATTAAAATAATTAAAATTAAATAAAATGTAAAGAGATAAATTAAAATTTAATAACGCGATTTTTAATATAATTTTATTGTTAAAACAAAATTTTTCGAGATAACCAATTTCTACTGAAATTGTTATTCAATTACATATAAAAGAAGTGCCGCAGCCTTCATATTCAGGAGCTCCGGTGCGTTCCGGCTAGAATTATGATTTATTACAAAAGCTAAGAAGCAGCGGAGCCGGGATACGACCAATTTAAGCTCTGATCGTGGGGGGGGGAGTTCTTTTATTCATCACAAAAATTAAAATATGCTTAAAATATAGCTGATGATGAAAATTCCAGGGCGAAACAGAATGAGGGGTATGAGTGGGTGGAAAACAAAAAAATGAGGGGAATCTTGGTGAGAGAGAACGTTTCTCTTGTTAACCGCGGCACTCTCTGCTGATATAATTATAGCAATCAAGCAGATGTATTTCAGGGGTAAGGTGAGTCCTGAATCTGACTCCTAAAGATGAATGTAAAGTTGCTGGTTACGCTTTCCCCCTCCCCCATTAGTGGATTCTGTGGGAAGACGATGTATAGGACGTGCTTGAGAAGTTTATCTCAGTATTTCACTCTTATTGTACTCGCTGTCACTTAACGCTCATTTAAGAACACAAATTTTCCTTCCTGCGAGGGTAACTAACTGTAAGCATCGATAACAATACACTAGATACGATGGCATGGCGAGAAATTTACGCGTTCCTAAACAAACTCCCCCAAATTTATTGCTTTTCTTAAAGGGAAATGTTTCCGCATGCGAGTGAGGGGACTTTACTTGAATGTCTCATGCTCTCATGAGTTCGTATTTCTAGGGAAATAGAGTATTGCAAGGTCTGCTTATTGTTAAACTAAAACGTTAGGAATTCTAATTTTTTCTCCTTTAAATTGTGGTTCAGTTTTATAAAAAGAAGTACCGGAGCTCATCTTATTTACGGTTCCGGCTAAAATTGTAATTTATCTTAAAAATTGAGAAGCACCAGAGCCGGGCTCTGATGGGCTGCGGCGCAATTTAAGCACTGACTGCTTAACTCTTAAACATAAGATAAAACTCAAAGGTGAAACTTAGCATAAACGTTACTACCCTTGACTTGAAGATACATAAAACTAAATTATAACAAACTAAAATCAATATCTTTTCGACAAAGTTTACAACAATAGGTTTCTTGCCTTTTCGTTAAGCTTGCTATGCACAATATGCCGCGTAAAGTGGGCAACACATTGTGAACTCATAGAACTATAACCCAGGGCGACACTTAACTTAAAACTGGGGGTCAAAATGCAAAGCTAACTTTCTGGGTAAAAAAATCTTCGAAATAAAGTCAAAAAATATCGAGATTTCAGGTTAAATTTTGGGATCAAATATAAAGCTTAACTAATAGGGATCAAAATCCCAATGCTAACTTTCTTAGTATTTTTTAGTACTTACCGAAATCAGATAAGCATCAGTAGCTCTTTCACAACTCTATGAGCGATTTTCACAGTAAGGCGGCATAATTATAATATCAGCTCTAAGACGCTCACAGTTAAGATTACTACTAGCTTTAATAATTAGCTTTAATATTAATTAGCTATTATTATTTTAAAACTACGCAGCTTACCATCCAGTTTGCACAAACCTGTCCTCTGAGCAAGTAACATGACGAGCTAAGGAACGTAGAAATTAATTCAAAACTAGCTGTTAATAAAACTTATTAGCAGCTAGTTTTAAATAACAGCTTATTATAATTTGTCTTTACCTTTCGTTTTATTCCCTCATGATGACTCTTCTCGTTCCAGGAAAGGGCGATGCGACTTCATGGATGGAATTTGTCATGAATCTCCGCGCTGGGTCAGCCTGTTGGTAGCGGAGACATACTACCCGGACACTTTCTTCCCTACCACATCTACACCCCTACCACCACCGCCACCCGTCGAAGACTTCTACAACTTTCAACAATACCTAAAGCGACGAGTTGGAGAAGTGGACAGTGATTCAACTTACCGAGCGAGAGCACCGCTGCAAAAGGAGAAAAAACAAAGAAACATCACTGCGACGGCGTGGACCACATTGGCTGCTACGTTGTCAGGCTGTACTATGACTGGTTTTTAGTGAACGGCTCGTGCAAATGTTGGAAACCGTCACCCAAAAGGACATTGACCCACTATCGTTAGGTTTGAGATCATTCACAAAGCAAGTTCTTCCTATGGAGGCAATACTGGCACATCAGTCAATGGATTATACAAAAACATTCAGATTTATCGCATAGTGGATCATTGTGGAAACGTTTCAGAAACATTTTCAATCACAAGTATTACAAGGCACATCTATTTCTAAGCACCTGGCTTTGGTACAACGGTAAACAGTTGATACATAAAATGTGGTACAAAAATTGTGAACAATTTGTGTAGAAAATGTGTTACGGAAACAATGGACGATTGGTTGAGGAAATATGGTACAGAAACTTCGGATAACTGATCCAGAAAATCTGATACAACTGCAGCCAGTTGGCACCAGAAATATAGGTCAGGAACTGTGGACAGATAGTACTAAAACTGCGATACGACTGTGTATAACCGACCTACGGAATGTACTAGAATTGTGGACAATTGGTGCAGAAGCTGCAGGAAATTTGCATAGTTGGAGTAAGAATTCTCTGGGATGTCTCATCTACAAGGATTGTTGAAGATACTACATAAGCTACAAAAATCTCATACCAACTTCTATATCAACTGTATTTATGAGGATGTAACGGAAACTTTTTGTGATACAAGAACTGACACAGAGCATTCAGAGCATTTACATATTTTCCGCGAAGCACTCCTTCGTGTTTCTTACGTCTTTCTTCTAATGGTAGCTATACCATCGTGGTCGCTATTGTAAGATTATGGGCTAGTGGTAAGCTTGGCTTCAGTCAGTGGTAAGCTTGGCTATCAATGCTTTATAATGTGAGGGCTTAGTAAATTGTAAGAAACAAAGCCACATTCACCACTGAGATTACAAAGTACACTTCAGACTCCCAGACTTAGAATTCGTAGCAAGGAGGTACATGCAACGGGATCAAGGGAGCTGAGAACTGTTGGACTGTCAAAAGACAATCCGAAACAGACGCGGAATTTGAATTTGCTTCATTGCGATTGCGAGAGCTTCATAAATACAGTCAGCTCTCGATTTACCTTCGATAATGCCGGGGGCAACGTTTATGACTCAAAATCTTGGTTCATTACAAAGCAGTTAAAATAACACAGAAAGAGAAATAACTCATATTATAATTAACAAAAATTCCTATTAATAATTAAGTCTAGAGAACAAATTCATTTGGTTACTTAATTTAAATCATAGTGAAAATAAAAGGGAAAATTGTAAATAATGAGAAAATGAATATCCTGAAAAATGAAGAATTAAGATATAAATGGCATTCATAGCAATAGTTACATCTGAACTTGAACAACGTCACGGAATTGAAATTCGCCTAAAAATAAATAAATAAGTAAGGTCGGTTATATTTTCTATTTATTATTGTACATTGTTTATATATTCAATATTATGTGCAGTTAAATTATGGACTGTTATGAAATAAAAACAACTCCCAAATACTACTATGATGTCATTTATCACCTCTGTTAAATTATAAGGTATTTCTGCCGCTTTCTTAGCATGCCTTCGTAGTGTAGTGGTCTGCACGCTGGGATCGTATTCCAGAGGTCCGTTGTTCGATTCCCGGCGAGGGCATTGCTCATTTTTCATCTCTTCTACTTCGAAATAACCTAATGTTTCTACAAAACTACAGTTTTTCTTTCCTTTTTTGTATCTTCCGTCTTCCGCTGACAGTTTCGCTTTGCACTGATTGTTCGTAATAGCAATTTTCCTATCGTTCCAAAAAACAAATTTACTTTTTCTAAAATAAATTAAGCCAAGTTAATTGGCAGTAGAATATAGCTTCGTTCCTATAGAATTCGTCAATAAAAAAAGTTTTAAGCATGGATGATTAGTACCTTTAAAAAAATAATTATTTTCATGTAAAGTTTCACAGAAAAGATCGAATACTATATGCTTCAGAAAATGCCAATTAGAAAATTTTAATGTATTAAACCTGAATCTATAATCGAAATGTTACTTTGCTCGAAGTGGGAGTTTACTTAGTGTTCCAACTTAAAATCTTGTATAGCGATTAATTGCTTTTTGGCTTTTCCTTTGATAAAATCAAAATTTCCTCTCACATACAAATCAAAACACCTGAAAATGGAAACTATATGAATCTACCTTCAGTTCTATGACCGTGAACCAGAACATGTAAAGTACTGTATCATTTTATTCGCAATTAAAATAAACTAGCTTGTTGAAAAGAAACTATCGCAATTAAAATAAACTAGCTTGTTGAAAAGAAACTAACCATTCTCTTAAAAAATAAACCTTCTCTAAAACAAGTTCTACTTGTGGTGGAACGTTTAAGATCGTTGTATAGTGGGAGTTCGACCCAAATTTGATAGTAGGCAAACAGGCTGTCTACATGGTTAGTTTTTGCAGTCCTCCTATGTTTAACATGAATACAAGCCAGTTTCCGTCAGAAAGTCCTTCAAGAAGGCATCCTTTCTTCAGGTAGAGAGCCGTCTTGTGCTTTACCATACTTTAATAACCTAGCCCCCATACACGATTATTTATATTTTCAGATGATTTTAATCTTTTCAAGATGATGTTTATTTACAGTTTGCCATATTTAGGGTTACCTGTTCAAGGAAAGGGCTGCCTTCGTAGAGGACTTTCTAAAGGAAATTAGTTCGTATTCACGCCATAGATGAGTAAAGTAACGAAAAACCAGGCATGCATCCAGCCCGTACGCCTGCTATCGTGCTCCTACAGTCTCAATCATTCAGTCAATGATGGAACGTTAATTTATAGTCCTCCAAACATCGATCATTATCAGAGGTGATCGATACGAGAGGGATCGTTGTATTGTAAAAAATATTTCTTGTAAAATTCACATATACATGAATTTATATGGTTTGGTCTGGTTTATGTGATTACGGCAGTCTCGAGGACTATCTGCCTAAGGGAAAAGATGGCTTCGTGGAGGACTTTCTAAGGAAAACTGGTTCGTATACACGTTACACATGGGTAAAATCACGAAAACGCTCATCAGCCAGCCGAGATTCAAACCTCGGACCGAACTACCAGTGTTCAGCGATTTTACCGCTCGGCTGCTGGTGGGCCTCTTCAAAACTGAATTGCTGCTTTTGCTCAAATAACAATTATTGTATTTTGAAGTCCACGTTTAAGGCTAAAATAATATTCTCTGGAAAACCTAATCTATTTATATGACAGCTACAAAAGTATCGTTGACTGGTTTTTACATCTGTCAACCAAGTTTATGATTATATTGAATAAAAGGAAGTAATTATATATTTTTCATTCCAAATAAAACCTTAAGTAAAAGAAACATATTTTTAACCTATAAACTTATCAAAAAAATATTGCTGTATTAAAACCTTTTAAGAAACGAAAACAACGTAATGACAGCCTTCTGAGTCATCGAATTTTTTAAAAAAAATTCGAAGCCTTCTGAGTCTTCGAATTTTTTTTAAAAAATTCGATGACTCAGAAGTCATCTTAAAACTATAGACGCAGTCAAAAACTATGCACGCGCTCATTAAGCTATAAAGAGTCATTTTTTAAAAGCCACCTAGATCATAATTCAAAGCGAGGCTTCTTAAACTTTTTTCAATTACGACACCTTTTTAGATATTTTTTGCGACCCCCGGATATTAAATATAAAATAAAGATATAAAAATAAATAGCCTCCCGTAAATAATTTACTTCTTTGGTAAACAAAACACATATATAAAGTAGTTTCAGGATTTATTGTAAACACTCAAAAATTAAAGAAAATTCTAATGAGCCAGATGTGCTTATTTTCTGTTGCGTAACAAATTAAATGTTGATTCGATATTTGACACTACTGGACATAAAGCATCTTCAACATGTTTCAGCGTTGAACGACATTTGGTTTTAATTCTCTTTGAAACTGAAAAGTAGTTTTATATAAATATGTGGTGCTGAATGAGAAAAGAACATTTAATGCCATTTAAAAAAATAATGAGAAATCTAGTTCTAACTCCGATCTAGAATTCATCAAGGATTTCTGTGAAAACTCAAGTTAAGATTGAATCGCTAGATAGCTTTACAAATTCCTTTTGAATTTTATGTAATAGGTAATTAACCTCATTAATATCAATTAATGTAATGTCTTTAAAAGTCTAATCTCTTTAATGCCAATTAATGTAATTTCTTTAAAAGTTTTAGGAATGCAGTTTCTTTAAATTCAGCTATGGAAGTGAATTTTCGCGACCCCAAAATTTCGATTTGCGACCCAATTTGTGGTCGCGACCCATAGTTTAAGAAACTCTGATTTAAAGACTATATTATTTAACCCTTTTCGGCACGCTACCTTTTAAAGTCGGAGTTTTGATTTTAAAAAAAAAAAAAAAAAAAAAAAAAAAGTAGGCAGTCTAATTAGGCCTAGAGGAGTACATAAGTAAAATTTTGTGAAGATAGCACTTATCGTTTTAATTCTGTGTATGAGCCCAAAGTGGCAGACTGATTGCATAGAGCTTCGAAAAGAGTCTGAAACGAGCATTGTTGTCAATGAACTGACCGATGAGATGCGGAGACACAAAGAATACAGACTCTCAGTTGTCCTAGACGATCGGTGAGCCCGGTCTGGGCACACCTAGGATTCGCCGTTTGATTTTAGGCAAGATTTCAAGGTAAAAATTTAAAACTAATATATAATAAGGAGATTAGCATATAGCCAAAAAAATAACATAGAAATTTCTTTTCAAACAATTCCTTTTATACCCTAAAAAAAATCTGGAAGATTTCTTTGAAAAATGAGGGTCTTAAAAAACTAACATGGTTAAAATATAAGGACTGGTTTGTGTTGAGCTGCCATCTACTATAAATAAAGAAGGTTCAGAGTAACCTATAGTAACTTATAAATCATTTTTCATTCAATTTTTCTGTGCGTACAGAAGGAAATTTTTAGGTATGTAAAGACCGGACACACTGTGCCGCAAAGGCTGAAAGGCCGCTTACTACGCAGATTTCTAGATATTACCATTTGCAACTTTTTACTTTGGAGATATGTGGTACGATTTGCGACTTTTTACTTTGGGGATATGTGGATATGCGACTTTTTAATTAGAGTCTTTTAGGGTTAGGTGGCATATGCCACCTAAGCCTCTTAAGCCTCTCTGCTACTTTAGAAACTAGTGGTATATTGAAACCGGATTGGTGCTCACGAATTTCATCGTGTCAAGGAGTGCAAAACGGCGTATCTTTGAAGCCAAATCAATCAAGCCAATCAAGCCTTGAGCACAATATCAAATAGTAAAATAGTAAACTTTTACCCACTTCCGGATGCAGACCACCTTTGGGGACGGGTCCGAGGATCCTCCAGTCCTCTTTCTCTGCTACCAAACCATTAGAGAGGACTTTTGGCTCGCTGTGCATTTTATGTGCCCCCATGTCGCACAGACACTATACATTTACAAATATCCATGTCTTCTCCGAGATTCGAACCCGAGACCATCGATACGGCAGTCAGTGCCACTAACTATACCATCTGACTAAAGCGCATGAATTTTTCTTAAGGGGGCTCACACACCTTAAACCCATCATGATCTTCGAATATGTGACTGTTGCAAGAATTGGGATATTTTATTTATTTTAAAAGCAATTACTTCCAAACTTTTACAGCTGACTACATAATATAGCTGCTTTGGAAACTAGTAACCAGAAATTTTGTGTTGCCACAAATATGTTTGTAATTTAATCCTCTTTGTGACAAAATATTTCGCCATGTTTCCACCTTGCGCGCAGGATATTTTAAAAATAGCAAATGGTATATACTTGAAATTAGATGGAATTCTTTATATGGGCACTATTTTCTAACTGAACTAAAAATAAGATAAATATTTTTAATATTAAAAAAATTTTATGGAAGAAAACATTACAAATTTTTTTAATAAAATACATTTTTATAACTGAACGCCAAATAAATAAAAAAATTTAACATGAAATTTTTAGAATTTTGGGTTCACAGTAGTTTCCAAATGTTATAAAAGCTCTATATTAAATATGGAATTAAATTATGCAACAGGATATTTTAAGCTGTGCGCGCAAGGTGGAAATATGACGAAAAATGTTGTCACAAAGCGGATTAAATTATAAAAATATTTGTGGCAACACAAACTTTCTGACGACTATTTCAGAAAGCAGCTATATTATGTAGCCAGCTGTAAAAAGTTGGAAGTAATTGCTTTTAAAATATAAAAAAGTTATCCCAATTCTTGCAACAGTCACATATTCGAAGATCTTATGGGTTTTAAGGTGTATGAGTCCCCTTAAATATATTAATATCAGAGAGTATTTGCTAAGTAAATATATTCGCCGTTAACGCTATTTCTCAGCGAAAAATATTCTTTGCATCAATTCTATTTCGTTAAACTAAAAAAAAAAAAAAAAAGTATAGAAATATTAAAAGAAAAGGCAAAAAAGTTACTGTTAATGGCTTTTGGTTGAAAAGAAATTACCCTTA